CTGTAAGACGGGGAACGACCTCGCCGACCACTATGCTGAGCTTGGGGCCCTAGCTCACGAGAAGCCGAGCCCTGAGCAGCAAGAGTGGCTCGATAAATGCCTGTCGGTCGCTCGCAAGGTTTTTGTTTTGGCTGCCCGTGTGTTGCCTCTCTGGCCTCCGCTCGACTTGTCGGAAGCCACTCGTGCGCCCGTCGAGCCGAAACCGGTGCCAGTCAAAGTGTCCCATCTTTGGAAGAAGGTGGGTAGCTTCTGGCAGTGCAATCACTGCCTCACTGTGTGCCGTGGGGTTTTCCCGCGGGATAATTCGAGTTGCACCAAGAAGCATAAGCTCCAGGTTGACGCCCTGCAGCATCTGGAGCACAATTGTCTTGGATTAGCGTGTTCGGACGGCGGCATAATCTGTGTCTGTGTCCGTTGTAAGGCGTTTTCCACTGGCAATTACGTTCGTTACCTGGCTAAACCGTGCCCAGGTAGGCCTCATAATATTAGGTGTTCTAAGTATTACTGGGACAGAATTTCGGCTGGCAAGCACCCCAAGCTTTCGGACGTCTGGCTTGATGCGGATGCTAACAGTGTTGTTCGTCTCTTGAATACACCCTAGGCCTGTATCTGGCCCAGCCTCTCGGTCTCGTGTCGCGGGGGCGCGGCCCTGATATATGGTTTCATGGCATGTATGACCCGTCTGTGCCATTTAAGTGCCGTGCTCGACGGCCGCCTGGCTCCCAGTGCCAGGCCGACGGCGGGACGCCGTGGAGAGCAGCGTAGCGGTAAAAAATCCTCCCCCTCCTCCTTTTCTTCCTCCTCCTCGTCGTCGTCGTCCTCCTCCTCCTCCTCCTCCTCCTTCCCCTCCTCCAGCGCACTTGGTAGCGCGCTGGGAAAAGTGGAACAGGGACAGGAGGAGGAGGGGGTGGAGGGCTCGCGCGAGAACGCGAACGGGGAGGAGGAGGATTCACTCTACGTACCCTTTCCTTCCCCCTTCCCCCTTCCTCACCCCCGGCGGCGAGGAACCACCGAAGGTTTGAGAAACGCCTTCTAGCGAGTGTTGAGGAAAGAAAGGCCAGCGCGGTGTCAAGCGTCCAGCGAAAGACGTGTTTTGGAAAGAGGCCGCCCCTCATCCATGCAACCGTTGCCCAAGATCACACGTCTGGTCACCCGATGTGAAAAGGTCCCAGGCTGGAACCCCATGTTGAAAAGGATGCATCGTCAATCGTTGTAGCTGTTGCGCGCTTTCAGGACGACTCATTGCGTCACTGAGGCGAGAGCCTCATTATGAAAAGGGATGTCCATCCATCTCCGTTACTGTCGCGAGTTTTCAAGACGAACGTGTGCGGCGAATTGAGGCGGAGGGCTCGCAATATCGTTTCACGTTCACTGTCAAGGATGCTTTTAGGGGCGTTCTTGGGCCCCCAGAACTCACAGCGGCTGACCCAGCAGACCTTCGGACGACCCGAAACTCCAGAGCCCCACGCCCTTAATGGAATTAAAGTTTTGGCTGCTGCAGTAGCGGCACAACTGTGACCGCTGAGGCACTACACTTCGCGAGCAAGGCACAGTGGCGGATATAAATGAAGGTGCCACTAGTATTACAGCCACATTTGGACCAGGAACCGCCTTCCATCCTTACTGCGCGTAGCGCCTGGACGATAGCTGCATTTTGAAAACGAACCGGCCTCCATGCTCAAAGCGGCTGCAGTGTTGAGACGATTAACACGCGCGACGCTCAGGCGAGAGGCACATCTTGGAAACCACCCCCCTCCGTCATTGAAGCTGATGCAAACGTGTACGAATCGCGCGCGCGGTAGCAAGGCGATGACGCATTTGGAAAGTCACAGTCGTTTCATTCTTGCGGCTGCTGCAAGCTTCAAGTAGGAAAGAGCTCGCCACTACGGCGAGAGCCACAGTTTCACCAGGAACCGACCTGTATCCTTGATGTGGGCGGCGCTTGGGCGATAGCCGCATTACATATAACGGCTTTATGTGCAAAGCTGTTGCATTTCGAAACGAATATGCGCGGTGCTCAGGCGAGAGCCACATATTAAAATTCAGTGTTCTGTCCTTGGAGCTGTTGCAAACGTGTGCGAATCGCGCGCGCGCGGCGTTAAGGCGATGACGAATTTTCGAAAGTCATGGTCGATCCATCCTTGTAGCTGCTGCAACCGTTGAATACGAATGAGCTCATCACTGAGGCGAGAGCCACACCGACACCAGGAATCGCCCTATATCCTTTGTGTGCGCGGCGCCTGGGCGATGGCCGCATTTTCGGGCAGGGGCGGGGCAGCGGGGGCGGACAGCTAGGCAGGGGGTGCACCGCGCGAGCTCGGCGCTTCCTTGGGAGAAGGCGCGCGGCGACCTCGGCCCCGTCCTGCGGATCGAGCGCGTCGGCAAGCGAGCGCAGAAAAAAAACATTGTTGATTTGCGTTCCTCCCTCCTCCCTCCTCCCTCCTCCCTCCTCCCTCCGCGCGCCCTACCGCCCGACCTCGGGAAACCTGGTTGGGGCGTTTGGGCGCCTGTTGGCAGTTTCGTGGGCCCTTTGGGGCCGGAGGGTTCGGGCCTGGCGGCGGTCTGAGGGTCCTTGAGAAGCGAATGGCCCTCTCTTGGGCCCGTGTTGGGGCCTTTTTCGGGGATCGCGGGGGCATCTTCGCCCGTCTTGGAGCTATCGGGCCGTCATGGGTTGTCTTGGGGCGATGTCGGGGTCTTTGGGGCCTTCCTGGGCGGCGGTAGGAAGAAACAACGAGAATGCCAAAACTGTACCAAAACATACGGGCTTGGATTTGGAGGCCCACTTGGGGATTCTGCCCGGAGCTCATCAGGGCGTTTGGAAGGTCTCTCGGGCCATCAGGAGGCCATATTGGACCCTCTTGGGGCAGCCGCTGGCTCGTTTGCACGACTTGGCAGGGACCCCCAGAAGCCCGGAGGTCTCATGGGGCCCTCGGCAGGGGCATCCAGGAACCCAGCTGCCAGGGATTCCGGAAGGTCCGGCCAGCGGGGGGGGGCCACCCCCCCGGATGGTGTACATGTGTATATATACACACATGTATATGTATATATATATATACATATATATATATACAGATGTGTGCATACATATATATATATATACATATAAAAAAGGCAAACATACATACATACATACATACATATGCATACATACATACATACATACATGCATGCATGCATGCATGCATGCATACATACATACATACATACAGTCCGACCAACCAGCCAACCAACCAACCAACAAACAAACAAACAAGCAACATACATACATACATAAATACATACATACATACAAATATACATACATACATGCATGCATGCATGCATGCATGCATACATACATACATACATACATACACACATACATACATACATCTAATCACATACATCGATACATCCATGACACACATATCTACATACACAATACATGCACAAAGACATACATAAATGTGTACGATCACATATAGAAAGATATCCATGTCAAGGGTGCAAGATTTGAGGCCGGATGTGGCCGGCTCTTGGGCGGTAGCCGCATCTCTGAAAACGAAGCGACCTCCATGCTGGAATTTGCTTGACGAAGACGCGCGGCGGTCCGGCGAGAGCCACATGTTGAAAGCCATCCCTCCGTCCTTGAAGCTGTCGCAAACGTTTTTTCCACGAGCGCGCGCGGCGTTCCAGCGATAACCGCATTATGAAAAGCATGTGCCCTTCATCCTGGAATATTCTCGGATTTTGTAGGACGAATGATCACGGCGCTAAGGTGGGAACCGCATTTGGTTGGAGTTCTTAGTTTGTTCGTGCGTCGCTTCAGGGTAATGCGTTGTAAAGAACCTTCAGGCGAACCGCCACGCACGGCCCACCGACACGTCTGGCGTTGCGCCCAGGGGGGGTGGACTGGTTAGAAGGAGGGTTGGAGGAGTGAGTGGGATGACATGGAGGAGGAGGCGGAGGAAGAGGAGGAGGAGGAGGAGGAGGACATGGAGGATGAGAAAGATGAGGATCAAGAGGGGGAGGAGCAAGAGGAGCAGGACTTCGAGGAGGAGTGGGGCGGAGGAGGAAGAGGACCTCGAGATGAAGGAGGAGGGGAGGAGAAAGGGGAGTTGACCCACGACGAGCGAGGAAGAGGGGGACGAGAAAGAGAAGGAGGACGAGGAGGAAGTGGAGGGGGAATAGGCGGAGGAGGAGGAGGAGGAGGAGGAGAAGCAGGACGAGTCAGGAGGAGGAGGATGAGCGGGGATGTGAGTAAGGAGGGAGGAGACAGAGGGGGAGGAGGAGGAGCAGGAGGAGGGGGAGGAGCAGGAGGAGGAGGAGGAGGACCAGTGAAAACCCAAGACGTATCAAGGGTGTTGCGATAAGCTTTTCCATGCTCTTCCCTCTTCATCAGTCCCTACAAGAGTGGATCATCATTGCGGGAAGTACCCCATTGATAGACAAGCGTGTGAAAGTCTTCAATATTGCCAGAACTCCATTCTTGGGACCCCAAACGCCGCGAGTCACTGTGTGTGTTGCGTCTTGACAATCGAAAATCGTGTCAGATAACCGTTCCTAAGACTCCAGAATCCCGAATCAACGTGACTGTTGCGACCTCACACTCCTAGATCGTGTCAGAAGACAGTTCCTTGGTTTTTGCATCACGATTCCTTGAATCGAAATAGTTTGAAACGAATGTGCGCGGCGCTAAGGGGAAGGCCACATTTGGAAAGGAATTGGCCCTCATCCTTGAAAGCGCCGCACACTTTGAAGACGAATGTGCGAGGCGCCGAGGTCAGAGCCGTATGTTGAAAACGATGCGTGCTCCACCTTTTAAAGTGTTGCACATGTCAAGCTTCAGGATCATCAATGAAGAGGAGGTAGCAGGCGAGATGCCTGGCCCGGCATGCTGGGGGTGCAACAGGGAGGAGTTGCTTTTGAGATCAAGAGAAAAAGGGATGGAGGAGGAGGAGGAAGCGGAGAAGGAGGGAGGGAGTGGGGGAGGGAGAGGAAATCGTGCCCCGACCGGCGAGGAGAGCACGAAGGGTTTGAGGTGGTTCTTCGGGCTCCTCGTGGCCATTACGTCGCTGTGGTCTCTGATGGTGCCCGTCACGGTGGCCCTCGCGTTCTTGGTTTCGCCTTGCTGGCGCTACAAGGCCCTCTCCGTCGTCGTCGTCGTTGTCATCCTCCTCTTCCCGCTTCTTTCTCCTCCCTCTCCTGTTCCTCCTCCTCTTCCGCCTCCTCCTTCTCCTCCTCCTCCTCCCTTTTCTCCTCCTCCTCCTCCTCCTCTTCCTCCTCTTTCTCCTCCTCGTCCCTTCCTCCTCTTTCTCCTCCTCTTCCTCCTCCTCCTCCTCCTCCTCCTCCGCCTCCTCCGCCTCCTCCTCCCGTTATGCCCCTTCTCTCTCCCCTTGCTCCTGCTGATCTTGCTGCTGCTGCTGCTGCTCCTCCTCCTCCTCCTCGACCACCCGACCTCTGCCAGAGCGCGCTCTGTCCAAGAGTTCGAGAAGACCCAGCAGCCGCGGCGAGGGGCACACGGCCAGAAAATGCCCCCCCTCGACGGGAGAGGAGGAGGAGGAGGAGGAGGAGGAGGAGGAGGAGGGGGAGGCGGAGGCGGCGGCGGAGGCGGAGGCGAGGGCGGAGGCGAGAGAGCAGAGGGAGGAGGAGGAGGAGGGAGGAGGAGGAGGAGGAGGAGGAGGAGGAGGAGGAGGAGGACGAGGAGGACGTGGAGGAGGAGGAGGAGGAGGGGAGGAGTGGAGCAGGAGGAGGAGGCGGAGGCGGAGGAGGCGAGAGGAGAGGAGGAGGAGGAGGGAGGAGGGAGGAGGAGGAGGGGAGGAGGGAGGAGGAGGAGGAGGAGGAGGAGGAGGAGGAGAGTTGGGATGGGATCGCGGACTGAGCATCAAGGCGTCTGGACGACATCGCCCTGTTCGGGCCTCCAGGGTTCTTCTGAGACTTCTGGTTTTCCGTCACGGGGACTCGTAGGGGTCTCAAATCTTTTGAGGGATGAGGAGGATTTGTTATTGGCGCCCCTCATGTTGGCAAGAACAAGGAAGTAGTGCGGGATGTAGCGCAACATAGTAGGCCTCATTCTGGGAGATACGATCTGATTGTCGCAGCACAAGGCCCGACTGGAGCAATTTCTGCAAATCGGTTGGGTCATATTTGAAACAGGGCGCGGCAGCTAGAGCGTGCTGGGGGACACGCTGCGCGCAGCTCGTGGGCGACAATGTCCGTATCCGCGGCCTCGCCCTCAGGCCGCGACCCAGCGGATACGGGGCGCTGTTTCGCGGATCCCCCGCGCGGAATGAGTCCGTGCGACCGCGTATCGGCGGGACCGCGCCCCAGCGTCCAGACCGCGAGGGCGCGGACACGGACGCGGTCGCCGCTCGTGAGCGGAGGAGCTCCTTGGAGTCGACGTGCCACTGGAGGTGGGCCGGGAGGTCTGCGAGCAGGGCGGCTGCTGGCCGCGGCACGCGCCGCCACCCGGGCGCAGGCCGCCTGCTGCTCTCCGTGTGCAGCCGCACGGGCTGCGCGCCGCGGCCCTCGAGGCGGTGCTGGTGGGCGAGGCCGCGGCGCTCGAGGCCCTGCTCGAGGGCAAGGCACGGCCTCGAGGAAGCTCCGCGGACGACTCGTGTGCACGGTGCCGCGTGGGCGCCTCCCGAGGCGTCGTCGATGCTCGACCTGGGAGCGGCGCGGGGCACGGCTGTGCGGCCCTCGGGGCCGGAGAGCTCTGCGCCGCTCTGCGCTGGAGCGTGGCCAAGCGAGTCCAGACACGGTACGGCGCACGTGCGCCGCTCTCGCAGAAGTGCGACTCGCAGGAGCTCGTGCCGCACGCCGGCAGCCGCCTCGGCGCGCCACGCGTGGGCGGCGGCGAGGCCTGCAGAGGCAGCGCGGGCGCGATCGTGGGCAGTCGCGTGGGGCTCTCTGGGCGCCGCGCAGCCTCGCAGGGAGGCCGGGGAGTTCCTGCCGCCAGCGGCTCAGGGCACGCATGCAGCGCTCACAGGAGCACGCGCCGCAGGAGAGGCCTGGAGCGTGCGCGGCAGCCGCGCGAGAGCCCAGGATCTCGAGCAGTGGTGGACGTGGACACCTGCCCGCCCGCATGGGGTGGCAGGTATCCACACCCACTGCTCTCCGAGTCCCCCAGGACACGGCCCCGCGGCAGTGGCCCCGTGGGCACCAGAAGGCGCACCGAGGATGGTGCGGAGGACGATAGTCCCACAGAGAGCGGGGCCGGGGAGAAGCCGCACGTGCGCGCGGGCTCCAGGCCGACCACACCACGGACGAGAAGGGCGGCTCGGGCGACGGGTCCGTGGGCGAGGGCCGCTTGCAGGCGACCGCGGATGCCCCCGCCGAGCAGGCAGGGGCTCATCCGCTCGTTGAGTTCGCCCTGAGGCTCATCATTGAGGCCGGTGCTAGGCTTCCTCCTCTCCTTCCCCTCCGTTGTCCTTCGCTCTTCCTCATCTTCTCGCCCTGTCGCTGCAACGTCCTAAGGGTTCAGTCGTATCGTCGTTCCACGCTGTCTGTGCTGAGGTCTGCGGTGGGCCGAGTGACGAGTGCATGGGCCTCCTCCTCCCCCTCACGAAACGAAACAAGGCATGCTGCCGATGCTGGCCCAACCCTGCTTGTGCGCGACGCCTGGGAAAAGCAGCTGGGGTATGCTGCGGCCTGCTGCCGTGCCCTCTGCTGCCTGACGGGCCCGGGCGGGACGCGGGGCGGCATGGAGGCCACGGCGGAGAGGAGGCCCACAGGTCGCAGGGCCCTCCGTGCACCATTCAGCGCGTGTGGAGGGCGAGTGGAGGCGCCCCTCGTGCACCGCTGAGCGCGCGCGAGGCGCGCGGGTGAAGGGCGTGCGGAGGCGCCCCGCATACATGCTCGCTGGATAGGAGGAGGCGGCGGAGGAGGAGGACGAGGAGAAGGAGGAGGAGGAGAAGGAGGAGAAGGAAGAGGAGGAAGAGGAGGAGGAGGACGAGGAGGAGGAGCGTGCCCCGGAGGCGCCCCGCCTTCCTCGGCTCGCCGTCGCTCCTCCCCCCATGCTGCTCCGCTCCCGCAGCTGGCGTTTTGTCGGCGACGGGAGGCAGCTTTTCTATCCCAAGTACGGCATGTCCCTCTACATGAGGAATATCCAGAAATAGGCAAAAAATAGTATGGGGACGATTTTTCCAATTTTGTGTTAGTTATTCTTGGGTTGTTGTTGACTGTCTTTTTTATTGCCCAAAATCAGCCTGCAGGAGGACACGTCCGATCGAACCCTGGCGATAACGGGCGTGTCCGAGAGGGGGGTGTGGAGGGAGGGGGAAGAGGGCCGGTCACGTCACGATTCGCGCCGACGCCGCCTGGGATTGTTTTCGGGCCCCCACACGTCGCCGGCGCCAATCGTGACGCGACCAGGGGGGTTCGGGGCCTAAGAGACGGGGGTCAGTGCAAACGGGGTTCAGCCAGGGCGCTGGATCCTGCAGGATCCTGCGAAGACCCCCTCTGGCTGACCCGGGTTAGCGAGCCGCTCGTGGCCGCGAGGCGGCCGCGCCTATTGGCTGACCTGGGTTTGCGAAGACCAGTGATGCAGTTTTTGTTTCCTGCATTGCAGTTTTTTGTTTCCTGCTGACCCAGGTCTGGATTGACCCAGGTAAGAAGATCCCCGAGGGGTGGGGATGGGGGCGGGTCGGGGCCGGTCACGAGCGTTCTCGCCAGTCATTGCAAGCGGGCTCACGACGCCGGGGCACAGAGAGAGAAGCCTCCCACCCCGCCCTCGTCCCGTGCCTTCGCCCCCCCCCCCCCCCCTCCTCGTCGTCCTCCTCGTCGTCCTCCTTCTCCCTCCTCCTCCTCCTCCTCCTCCTCCTCCTCCTCGTCCTCCTCCTCGTCCTCTCCTCCTCCTCCTCCCCTCCTCCCTCCTCCTCCGCTCTCCTCCTCCTCCTCCTCCTCCTCCTCCTCCTCTCCTTCTCCTCCTTCTCCTCCTCCCCTCCTCCTCCTCCTCCTTGGCCAGTTCCCCCCACCCCCCTGGCGCAGCCCCCCTGTGCCTGGCCGTCGCTGGCCCTCTCAGCCTTCTCTCCAGGGCAGGGACGTACTAACCACCGCCTGGGAGACCGATATTCGCCAACCTCCACATGCGGTGGATACGGATATATTTCTGGCCTCCGTGGGCCAAAAGATATCCATATCCACCGCCCGCCGGGGCACCACGACGTCGGTTTGCACCAGGACGTCGGTTTGCAGGCGGTGGCTATGGGTAAGTCCCCGCCTCGCCTCTCGAAGAGGTCGTGACCACGGCCGAGATCGCCGCGCGCCTGCTGACGCAGGCGGTGCTGACGTGGCTGTTCTGCGGCCCGGTGAGCCCCATCACGCCGAGGAGGGGCGGGAACTGCTTCCCGAGCCCCTGCTGACGGGGTGTCAGTACACGGGGTGGTAGTTGAGGGGGCCTCTACGATCGAGAAGAGGGCGACAGGGCATTTGCCTCGCGCTGGTGCGTGGGGAGTCGGGACGACAGAGCCGTCGACACGTCATCACAACTCTGGGCGGGGGGATCCCCTCGCACTTCTGCGCGGCAAACCAAATTCTCGAGGGCACAACTGAAAACGCACCAGCGGGAGGCAGATGCCTTGTCGCCTTCCTCTCGATCGTGGAGGCCCCTAAGCTACCACCCCGTTTACGAGCACCCCGTATGCAGGATCTTGGTCTTCGCCATGAAGAGGGAGGAGGAGGGAGGAGGAGGAGGACGAGGAGGAGGAGGAGGAGGAGGAGGAGGAGGGAGGAGGAGGAGGAGGAGGGAGGAGGAGGGAGGAGGAGGGAGGAGGGAGGAGGAGGAGGAGAGGAGGGAGGAGGAGGAGGGAGGAGGGAGGAGGGAGGAGGGAGGAGGGAGGAGGGAGGAGGAGGAGGAGGAGGACGAGGAGAAGGAGGAGGCGGAGGAGGAGGAGGAGGAGGCGGAGGAGGAGGAGGAGGAGGAGAAGGAGGAGGAGGAGGAGGAGAGGAGGAGGAGGGAGGAGGAGGGAGGGAGGGAGGGAGGGGGGAGGGAGGGAGGAGGGAGGAGGAGGGGGAGGAGGAGGAGGAGGAAGGTGTGGGGTGGCAGGGGGGGGGGAAGGTGGAGGTGGGGAGGGGGAGGGGAAGAGGGTACGTAGTAATAAGAGGAAGAAGCAGGAGTCGGGATCGGAATCGGCCCCATCGCGATGCGACGAGCGACGAGACAACAACAGACCAGCCCGAACTACGAGGCAGTCGCTTAGTTCGAGGATCTCCCTGATCCTTGGGCCACTATCCATCACAAAACCTCTGACTGTAGATTCCACGTGTGTTGTCAGGCGATCGCAAACATGGATCAATGGGGGCGTGGACTGGCGACGGCCAAACGAGGCGGCATTTGGCGAGGGCACCTCCCCCGATCCATGGATTTGGCGACCGCGCGCCAAATCCATGGATCGATAATCCATGTTTGCGCGCCCCCGAGTGTTGGTGAGCGGCTGATCACAACGCTTAGTTAAGGCTGGCCTCAGCTGCCGACTGGCGAAGGATCCGAACGTCTCACAGCCAGCACGTCGGAGACACATGACCCGCGCGTTTTTTTTTGTGTGGAGGGCAAAGGGTGAAATCTGAAATGCCGTGTCGACTGATTCTCGAGGTTCGAATCTGCACAGGGCGAATCACGAGACGGATCGGTTCTCGAAGCGCAGGAGCCCGTGTGTGGATGCCGCCCTGAGCCCTCCACCCTGCGAAGTGTGCCCAGGCGACGCCCCAGCGTGAGATTCCTGGGCCGGGCCTTCCCCAGCGGGTGTCTGCTGACCCTATGGGCAGCCCGGAGAGGGCAGGGTCGGCAGAGGCGGGAGGGACGCGTGGGCTCCCTGCGCCACAACGTGGCAGTCTCGACGGGTGCACGGCTTGAGCATCGCATGGCGCCAACAGCGCAGAGCGGCTTTCCCTCGGAAAGCGATGGGATGAGCCCGGCGTGTGCCGGAGGATTTCGTTCCGGATTTCGGGGTGACGTTCGTGCGGATCTTCTGTTTGTCCAGGAAGGAAGACGAGAACAAATCCACGCGCAATTCATTTCGTTGTTCACTCGCCGAGTCGGGGGTGTGCATTGACAGAAATCCACGCAAAAATCCGCTGCAGCACGTCTGCAAGGTCGGTGCAGTGAAACGTCGTAGGCATTGCCTAGACGTCTCGTCAAGCACATGGGCCGACTCGAAGACCGAGACCGCGGAAGGGGAGGGGGGAGGAGGTGGGCGGTCTTGCTTTGAGCTCGTAGGGCGAGGCCTGGGCGGAACCGCCGCAGTCGCCTCCAGGGTGGAGCGAAAGAGACGCTTGCGGACGAAGGTTACATCTTTTCTCCACTCGAGCAATCCTCGCACGAACTTCCTGATCGATCCGAGCCTCGGCCGCTGATGTGTCGGCCATTCGATTCCCCGCGAACATCCATTCAGGGTGCGAAGAGGAAACCACGAGGTGAGCGTCGAGTTGAGGGGGAACCCGAAGAACCGTTACCAGTGACGGGTCACGGCCCTCGAGTGCAGCACTTTTGGGCGTCCACGCCGCCTGATCTGGCCCCGTCGGGGCCAACTCGAGCCTTTCGAACCGCCCGTGGATCACCCCGCTGCTTTCGGCGACCTACACGAGAGCCCCACTGGAGCACCTGATGGAGGCCGAGCGGCCCCAGGAACTCCCCACGCGGCACCGTCTGCGCGTCGCCAGGAGGCCGTCCGAAGACAGTGGCACAAGCCGTCGCATCGCCGAAGTTATCCAGGGTACGGGGAGGAGGAGGAGGAGGAGGAGGAGGAGGAGGAGGAGGAGGAGGAGGAGGAGGAGGAGGACGCACCGACTCGGCGAAGACGGGGATCACGGCTAGCTTCGCCCCCGAACACGCCCCCGAGAACCACACGATGGTCTTCAGGAGACCTTCGGCCGAATTCAGCACTGTGAGGCACCCGAAGGGGGAGACAGAACTCTGGTCCGGGAGGCTGGTACGATCCCACGGAACCAGGAGCAGGATTCCGAGACCCGACCCGAGACAGCTTTAGGAACCAAGTGTTCCGATCTTTTACATGTAGCATTGCCTGTGTTATACATGTGCACAGCCAGCCGCGGTGTAAAGGTGTCTCGAGGCCTTCGCCACACCTCCGACAAGTAGCATCCACTGCAGCAGTGGCTTCATTACTGATCAGAGGCGACGATAGGGGCGAATAGCCCAGGGAAGAACAATACTTGTATCCGAAAGCGCCGATAATCTATGTCTTCGACAAGGCTCCACAGCGAATACATGTAATGTCTGCCCCTGGGCTATTCGTCCCTATCGTCGCCGCCGAATTGACCCATGAGCGGGGACATGTGCCACCTGCAACGTTGGTGGAAAGAGTCTTTAAGAGACGCGCACCGTGCATCGGGACCCCGGCGAGGGACTTCAAGACACGCCTATAGGAATGGTTGACGGCACCCTACTGCAAACCTTCCCCACAGAAATGCTGGCTGCCGCGGCCCAGAGCTGTTCAGAAGCCTGGCGAAGGCTGACAAATCCGTGGCTGCTAAAACGGAGCTTCGGGAAATGTGTTTTTTCTTCCTGGAAGCAGCCTGTTTACTACTTAGCGCGTTGAGGTTTATTCCGGGAAGTTTTTCTTCATTTCGGGAAGACCGTTTTAGCAGCCACGGATTTGCCAGCTTTCGCCCAGCTTCCAAGCAAAGATTGGCGAAAAGAATCTTTAAGAGGCGCGCACCGTGCTTCGGGACCCTGGCGAGGGACTTCAAAACACGCCTGCAGGAATGGCTGTCGGCCCCCTACCGCAAACCTTCCCTACAGAAATGCTGGTTTCGAAGAAGAGAAGACGACATAGACATCAACTCTTGGCGCTCCGCGCGGATGTCTTGGGTCCGCGCTGGGACCCCCGGGCGGCGCCTCGGGCGCCGCCCCTGGCGCGCTCCGCGCGCCAGGGAGGGGGGTCCAGCGCGAATCCAAGAAATCCGCGCGGAGCGCAAAAGTTTATGTTTATGACATGTTTTTGCCCGCCGACCCCTCAAACTCCTGAGTGATCCCGCTGACATCCCCAGATCTCGACACGATCTGATCGGGGGACGGCCACGTACCACCAGGCCCTTCGTCCTTGAGCGGGGTATGCCGTCCTGAAGTGAGGCGATCGCAAACATGGATCAAGGGGGCGTGGATTAGCGACGGGTCCCGTTTCCCTAGGAAATCGTGGCTTGCCGCCGCCGAACGAGGCGGCACCGCCCGCATTTTGGGGAGGGCACCTCCCCCGATGCATGGATTTGGCGACCGCGCGCCAAATCCATGGATCGCCAATCCATGCTTGCGCGCCCCCGGTGAAGGAGAGGCTGGGTCCCAGCCAAACTCGGGAATGTATGCCACGGCAGCTGCAACCGGGCCTTGAACAGCCTGGGCGGCGTGCCGATGGGGCAGGGTCACGGAGTTGCGAAACGGTTCGCGGCCACGCCGAAAGCACGAGGGGCGGTGATGACGATGCGTAACAAAGGGAGGGGGGGAGGAGGGGGAAACACGGAGGACACAGCATGTAAGCTGATGGTGTGATAGTGATGATAGGCAGGATGGTGGAGGAGGAGGAGGAGGAGGAGGAGGAGGAGGAGGAAGGGGAGGGGAAAGGGGATGGGAAAGAGGAGGGGAAAAGGGGAGGGGAACTGGGGGGAGGGGGAAGAGGATGGGAAAGAGGAGGTGGAGGAGGACGAGGAAGAAGCCTCCCCCTTATCTCACTTCATCACTGTCGTCATTGACGTCATCATTGGCACTGCCATTTTCATACTGGTCAGCCATGAAAGCAGGTTCTTGGAAACTCGATTCGTGTAGGGACCTATGAAGAGGGAACTTGAGGGAGGGCTTCGTACATCATCGTTGATGCGTCTTCGGTGTGCGCTGGTCCTCCTCCTCCTCGCGGCAACGGCTGCCCCCATCAGAGTCTTCTGTCTCGACGCTGATTGGAGGGCACCAACTATACACCTACACCGATCCTGGCCAGGCCGATCCTGGGCCCAGGATCGGTGTATATGCCAGGAGAGCGCATACACCGATCCCTAGGCCCAGGAGGAGCTTGGCTGGGACCGGTGTCGGTGTATTAGCTGGCGTTCTCCTGTCCTAGCGGACCACAGTGCCAGCGCCCACGATCACTGCAAGACTCCGCGAGCTCGTCGGTCTGTTTGTCTGCCTCCTCCCCCCCCTTCCCCCCCCCAGGGCTGGACCGGAACGGTGTGTTGGCCGTCTCGTGGGCCGTTTTGTTCGTCGCTTTGCTTTGCACTCGAGGCGAAGCGAAGGCAAACAGCAAGGCAGACCGAGAAGCAACACGAAAACGAACAACGCCGTGTAGGCTCAGCCCTGTTCCACCCCATCCTTCTTCTCCCGCTCCTCTCTAGGCCTCCCAGACAGGGTCCAAGTAGCTGGGGTCGGAGGAACGCGCCGCATCGCCGATGCATCGGCGATGCATCGCCGATACGGCTCAATGTGGGGCCCACTTTTCTCCACGCCGACGCCGCCGATGCATCGCCGATGTGTCGGCGATGCGGCGAGGTCCTCCGGCCCCCACCTGCTTGGAAACCCCACCTAGGAGTAGGGGAACAAAAAGTGGCATAAACATAAAAACTCGGAGGTCCGCGCGGAGTTCTGGGATCGGCGCTAGACCCCCCTCCCTGGCGCGCGGAGCGCGCCAGGGGAGGCGCCGCCGGGGGGCCCCAGCGCCGATCCAAGAAATCCGCGCGGACCTCCGAGTTTTTGTGTTTATGTCACTTCTTGTTCCCCTAAGGAGGCCTCTGTCCTCCGTGGGGGGGGAGGGCCAGGAACTGCCTCCAGCGGGAGGCGCCCCGCCTCGCGGGGAAGCTCATCGACCTGGAGGACGCTCCAAGGCGCCGCGGCCCGAGAGGCCGGACGAGGACGAGGACGAGGACGAGGACGAGGACGAACAACGAGGACAAACAACGAGGACGAGGACGAGGACGAGGACGAGGACGAGGACGAGGACGAGGACGAGGACGAGCGAGGACGAGGACGAGGACGAACAACGAGGACGAGGACGAGAAGGGATGCACAACGGACAAAACAGCGAGAGGAGGGGCGAGGACGAGGACGAACACCGAGAACTTCGGTGGAAGGAGAAACAACGGCATAACTATAAACTGTTGACGCTCCGCGCGGATTTCTTGGATCTGCGCTGGCCCCCCCCCCCCCCCCCCGGTGGCGCCTCCGGCGCAGGCCCTGGCGCGCTCCGCGCGCCGGGGAGAGGGGTCCAGCGCAGATCCAAGAAAGCCGCGCGGAGCGCCAAAAGTTTATGCTTATGGCGTCATTGTTTCTTCTATTCGGGGCTCAGAATGAAAACGAAGTTCGTGACCAGCTCCCGAGCCCAAGATGGCCTGCAGTGGGGACCCATGCCAAGAAACACCCTGCTTGCCTCCAGGGTGCCCTGGATCTCTTGGGTTTCGATGGTTTTGCGATGGAGAGCGTGACGCTCCCGCGTCAAAAGTCAATGGACGTCCTGAGGTCTCAGGGTTGGGTTTCTTGTGGAAGGTTTCTGGTGGACTGGCCTCCACTGTACCCTCGAACCTCCTGGATTATAGCGAGGACCTTCATCTGGTGTGTATGTATATATGTATATGTATATGTATGTATATGTATGTATATATATATATATATATATTCTGCGGGGCGAACGTGGTGCAGTGCAGATCCGAGTGGTCCGCGCTTACCGCCGAAAGTGAATGTTTGTGCCGCTTGATCTTCCTCCACTGTCGGGCGGGTACGTCCTCTCTTCGGGAAACGCGTGGCGCGTGGCTCACTCTCGCTGCTGGCGCAGAAGGCGCTGGGGCGCTGACGACCCGCGGCCCCTGCAGACAGCTCGGCTCGCCCAGCGCCCGTCCTGTCCACACCTGCGGCCCCACGCGGGAGACCGGGGACCTCCAGGCACATCGCGATTTGGACTCGCTCCTCCTCCTCCTCCTCCTCCTCCTCCTCCTCCTCCTCCTCCTCCTCCTTCGCCTCCTCCTCCTCCTCCTCCTCCTCCTGGCGCCCGACAGCACGGATGAAACAGCTTGGCTGGCAGACACGCGCGCCACTTCGAAGTGCGTTCTTGCGGCACTCTCGAGTCGGAAATGGCGGAGAGAGGACGGGGCGAAGATAGACTTCGAGGGGGGAGGAGGGTCACAGTTCGAGGGCGCGCTCTGGGCTGTTTCTGGCCCCCCCCCGGCTCCCAGTCACACGCCGTGAAAACCTGGGCAGAGCGTGTCTTCCAGGAGGAGCAGGACGGAGGCCCCTGAGGGCTTGACGACTGCTCTCCGATCCACTTGCAGAGGTCAGGTCAGATAACATCGAGGCACACATGCGGACAGGTCGATGCCCGCCCAGATAAATAGAATTAAAAAAACTGCGGGAATCCGGAGACACCCAGGCAGGCCTGTGGGGCAGATCGTGGAGGCCCCAGCGCGGGCAGGGTGACAGCCAAAGTTAAGTCGGGCGCGTCCCTCTACAGGAGGAAGATTCAAAAATAGTCAGAACATGATCTGGGGTGGTTTATATATCTATATATATATATAAAGATACAGTACCAAAAAAAGTGAGGGGTGGTTTTAAATATAAAAAAACATGCTTGGACCATTTGGGAGTATGTTTGGGGTATTCTTGAATTTTCCGCCCAAAATCCGCCTGTAGGGGGACATGCCCGACGTAAAGCCAAAGTCGTGAAGCCCCGAACGAGGAGGAGGGCGGCCGACGGAGGAGGGGCGTGGGGGGGAACTCCTCGACCTCCCCCGCGCGGCAGGCACGCCGCCGGGCAGCAGCGCCTGCCCGACCACGGCGCCCTCGCACCGTGAGCCTGCCCCCATCCGGTGTCGCGTGCGCGGGGAGCCCCGCGGGCCGTCGGGCGGAGGGGCAGCTCCCGCCACATCGGCTCGCGAGCGGCGCTGCTTCGCGCAACCAAGCAGGCGCGCTCCCCCAGGCAGTGCTCGCACTTGGGGGGGTCGTCGTCAGCAGGGAGAAATGGATGCTGGGTGGCTTTCCCAAGGTTGCGCCACGTTGCCACCAGTACCGCCTCGTGGGCGCTCGTGGTCGCTCCGTGTGCTGAGCTCGCACCGATAAGCTCATAGTCCGGGAAGATGTGTTTGGAAATGGACTCCGCACTTGCGTCGGCCCCGCATTGTCTGCGGCGTCGTCACCAGGGTTCCACTGGTGCTTCGCCGTCCCAATTCCTACATGATTGCATGCTTGTTTGTTTCGAGCTTGCGTTATGTCTGAATCCATGTGCGATTTTCTGTCTCGCACGAGAAAGCATTGCCATCGTGACATGACGCGCGCGCCGCGCATTCGTCTCGTCATTGCGGTCGCATGAGACGCGCGGATGTGTTTGGCGTCTTGAGTTTTCTTGCATTTTGAGACAGTTGTGAAGCCCTGTGAGACGCGTGAGTGGTGTTGTTGCCGAGTTTCCTGCGTCACTTGAAAACCTTGTGAGACGCGTGATGTGCTTGGCGCCGAGATTTTCGTGGCAATCTGCGGCCGCGTGAGACGCGCGGATGCGCTCGGCGCCGAGGGTTTGGTGGCACCTGGAGACCGCGTGAGGCTCGCGGATGTGTTCGGCACCGAGGGTTTCGGGGCACCGTGAGACCTTTTCAGACAATTTGAGACCGCCATCGGGATTTATCTGGTGCGTAAATTTGAACCAACCATGAAGATCTTGAGACCCATCCGGCATTTACCCACCGTGTCCCGAACAGTGCTTAAATTTAGGGGTTCCCACTTCTCCCTCAAAAAACTGGGCCTATCTGCCTGTCTCGCGGCTATGCCGCCGTCGCCGCCTCGTCACCGCCTCGTCGCCGCCCGTCGTCTGGGCCTGTCTGCTGGTCTGGCGGCTATGTTGCCGCCGTCGCCACCCGTCGTCTGGGAGTGTCTGCCTGCCGCCGTCGCCGCTTGTCAGTCGGCCATGTTGCCGCCGTCGCCGCCTCGTCGCCAGATAAATTGCGCACCACATACATATCACCACATAGAATGCACAACATAGATTACACAGCATCGATTGCACCACATAAATTGCACCATAAATCATGCACAACGTGCACTGCACCACGTAGATAGCAACGCATAGATTGCAGAGCGCATCTTGGCGCCATCTTGAGGCGTCTTGGATCATCTTAGCGCCATCTTGGCCATCTTGAGGCCATCTTGGCGCCATCTTGAGGCGTCTTGGACCAGGAAAAACCCTTTGCAACCGGGTCCGGGCAAATTTTCGGCATCCTTCCGGGTGGCCGGCGGGACGGGCCGAAGCCCCAGGGGGAGTTCTTTTGGAAAAAGAACCAAAACCAAACGCCATATCATCCGGCACTCCAGGCACCCCTTTGCTAAAGCAAAAGGGGGCGGCGGATCTAGTGGCAGTCGGCCCAGCCCATCCCGCCACCGTGCCTTGGTTGTGGGTTAGAGGCCTCTTGGATGTTAGTTGGGATATCGTGGGAGGCCTCTCGGGAGTCTCTTGGAGGCAGTTTTGAGGCCTTCTGAGGGCCGTTTGGGCCTATGTGTGGGCCTCTTGGGGGCCTCTTGGAAGCCTCTTGAGGGCCTCTTGGGCGCCTCTTTGGGCCTCTTGGAGGCCTCTTGGGGCTTCCGTGGGCCTTTTTGAGGCGGGAGGGTCGAATTGTAGGTTCGTGTTTTACCTCTTGGGCCCCTCTTGGGGCAGTTCTGGTGCCCTCTTAGGCCGACTTGGCGGCCTCTTGGGCCGTGTTGGGGCCCTCTTGGGCCGTGTTGGGGCCCTCTTAGGGGCCTCTTGGGCAGTGTTGGAGCGGTCTTGAGGACCTCTGGGGCCATCTTGGAGCGTCGGAAACCCGAACACGCGAGAACGCGAACCGCATTGAAAACCACACGGAGCATAAGTGATGCATGCATGCTGGGGACCTCTTGGAGATTCTCTTGTAGCGCTCTTGGGGTTTCTGTGGGGCCTCTTGAGCCGTCTTGGGGCCAGCTTGGGCGTCTTGGAGCGCTATTGGGTCGTCTTGGAGGCCTCTCGGACCCTCTTGGGCGCTTCTTGGAGCCTTCTTGGCCCGTTTTGGGGCCCTCTTGTAAAGAAAGCATGAGCAGCGAGTGCTCTGCGTCAAATTAGAGCGGCGCTCTGCTGATAAGAGGAGGAGCAGTGAACGCGCACACGCTCTGAGGCCAATTGTAGCAGAGCGGCGCTCTGTCAATCGGAGCCCGAGCATGATGTGGAGCCCTGCGTTGAGGCAAATGAGCACGGCAGCGCTCTGCGAATGCGGGGAGGGGCAGCGGCTGCACACGCTCTGAGGCAGCTGTGCAGAGCGCCGCTCTGCTGCTTGCAGCCCGAAGGGTCCGAGAATGTGGGGGCCCAGCCCCTAGAATACTGGAGCGCAGGACTCAGGACAGAGAACACATGAGAGACTGGGGCGATGAGACCCTGGGGCGAACTGCTAACTCCACTTCGTACCTCGAGGCACGGTGGCGGACACACGTACACGTACACAGACATATGTGTTTGCATGCGTGGTTGTGCATATGTGTATGTATATATATATATATATATACACCGATATAGGTGTGTGTATATGTATGCCTATACGGATGTATGGATGTAGGTATATGTGCACGTGTATGTTTTCATAGGTGTAGATGTGCATGTATATGGTACCGAGTACTTGTATGTATAAAGGGATGGATTCGTGTATATGTACTTGATATGTACAGATATACAAACATAAATAGAGAGAGGCCACGGCCTTGCCCGCCTTTCGATGGGCCAGAGGATGCTTCGCATTGGTGGTTCGCTCGTTCTTGGTCGCTCCTGGGGCGGGCCATCTTGGCGCAGCCCTTTTGGCGGGTCGCTGCCCGTTGTTGCAGTTTGTTTCTCGAGGATCTTCCGCGGGGCCATCTTGGAGCGTCTGGTGGATTCCTATTGGTGTCTCTGCTCAGGGGATTCGCACCAGTTCATTCCCACTCCTCACTCTGGAAGCCCACACGGGCATCCCAGCTGTCATACCTAGTTCAGTTTGTGCAAGCTCCATCCGCTCAGTTGGCATGAATGTAGGCCAATCTCGTCCGCTCGACTGTTCTTGTCGAAGTGGACCTGCTGAGCCAAGGAGGAGCAGCTGCTCAGTTGGCTCCAATGTGAGCCAATCTCGATCCCGTCGGCTCTTGGAGTCGACGGGGACCTGCTGAGCAGAGGTGCAGGATGTAGATCACCCACACATCCAGTGTGTGTGTGTGTGCTTTTTTGTGACCCTGCGTGGGGGCCTCGTAGAGACATCTGGATCTCGCGCCGCGCCGCCCGCGGTCCTGCCACGGCCCGCTCCCCCCTGAGACCCGAGACACACAGAGCCGCACTGGAAGACCACGACTTGGAGCCTCGGCCCCCATGCGACCTCCCTTTGGGCGCGAAGAAGCACGAAGGGCCGATGCTTTGGGGGAGGGCCGCGAGGGCTGCAGAGGAAGGGGGCCCTTTCTAGGGCCCCATTCAAGGGGCCCCTCTGGGCCCGCAGAAAGGGGCCCTCCTGGGCCCGCAAGAGGGCACCTTTCCCCCCCCCCCCCCCTCCCCCCTCGTGCATCGCCCCTCTTTGATTCGCGCCCCTCGTGCTCGCCCCCCTCGTGCATCGCCCCCCCTCGTGCATCGCCCCCCCCCCACCCCCCCTCGTGTATCGCCCCCCCTCGTGCGTCGCCCCCCCTCCTTGATTTCGCGCCCATCTCCTGCGGCAGCCCTCGCGCCAGGATCGGCCCGCGAGGCCCCGGGAGGCCCGAGACCACTCGGCGAGAGCCCTCGAGGTGCGTGGCCGGTCGCTTGCGACGCCTCCCCCGGGGTCGCGGGGCCGCCGCGGGCGCCCGCGGGCCCGGAGCGGGCGCCGAGCTGGCGCGCCAGCTGCGGAGACTATTTTGAAGCGCTGGGCCGTCCAGGGCCGGCAGCGGCGCCGAGCGCCGAGCGGAGCGGCGCAGGCTCAAGTCGGGCGCGTCCCTCTACAGGAGGAAGATTCCAAAAGGAGTCCAGAAGTCGTCCGGGGACGATGTTTTTGACAATCTGCAAGGTCGCCTGCAGTCCTGAAAACGCGAGGGCCAAGACGAGGCACAGGGTCCTCGAGACTTCGGGGAGGGAGATTTCGGGGCAGGGTGTTATCGGGGAGCGCAGGCCAGACCCCGAAAAATCTTTGGCCGATGTTCGAGCCCTCGGTAAATCCGCGATTTTGTGATGGAGACCATGTTTTTCCTTGGTCCAACGGGGTCGTCTCGGGCCGGCAGTCGCGGCGCAGGCCCCCACCGCGTGAGGTGGCGCGTCGGCGCCCTCGCTTCCAGTGCAGCGTGCCGCTCGGGCGGCCCGCGCAGAGGCCGCCGCGCAGGGCCCGCCGTGTCATCCCTCGCGTGCCGTCCAAACCCGCGCAGCAAGGAGGGGCCACCTTCCCAGGGGCACCCCTACATCCTTGCCTCCTCGGTCCGTCCTTGGCCACTTCCTGGGAGGGCTCGTGGGCCGTCCTGGAGGCCATCTTGAGCGTCTTGGGGGCCTCTTGGGCCGTCTTGGGGGCCTCTTGGGGCCGTCTGGGACATCCTTGCCTCCCCGGTCCGTCCTTGACCACTTCCGCTGGCCGCGCCCCGCCCGAAGAGCGTCGAGCTGGGCGCCCAAGGCCCTTGCATCCTCATCGTGCGTCCTTCCGATACGGTGAAGTCGGGCGTGTCCCTCTACAGGAGGAATATTCAAAAGTAGTCCAGAAATCGTCTGGGGACGATTTTTTGACTATTTGTAATGTTGTTTGACTCTTTGTATTTTGTCGTTAAAAATCCGCCCGTAGGAGGACGTGCTCGACTTAACGATACGGGCCGACTGCAGGACCCGTTTTCGATCGTCGCTCACTTGGTGCCCGGCGCTCTCTCGTGCTCGTGCCGCCGCGCGAGCCCGGGCGCCGGGCCCGGCGGGAGCCGTCTGCGCCCTGCCTGGCGCCTGCGCCGCGCAGAGCGCCACAAGTTTATGTTTATATGGTTTTGTCTTTTTCTATGACGAACCAACAACACACACCCATACCCATAGAGGGGTCGGAGAGAGCTATGGGTGCGTGTTGTCTGGTGGGGGTCCCCGCTCGAACGGGAGCGTTCCCCAGGGTCCGACAACCCGCACCCATACACATAGCCAGTCCTCCTCCCAACGACCCCCCTAAGGGTATGGGTGTGTGTGTTGCTCGTTCGTCATTCTAAGCATGGTGGGAGCCATGATATTTCATCAGATTTCAGGGCGCCTCTTCTTACTTCACTGCGTCCCGACCCCCTCCTGGGCCGAGCACACGCCGCCGGCCATGCTTTGCGCCACCCCCTATCGGACGCCACCCTCTTGGCCGCCCCCGAGCCCTGGGGGGGGTTGTTCGGACGGGGCTGGGACGAGGATGCAGTCTAGGAGGAGGAGGAGGAGGAGGAGGAGGAGGAGGAAGAGGAGAAGCAGGAGGAGGAGGAGTTAGAGGAAGAGGAAGAGGAGGAGGAGCAGGAGGAGGAGGAAGAGGAGGAGCAGGAGGAGGAGGAGAAGGAGGAACAGGATTCCACAGGTCAGGCAGCGACTGCGACCAAGAGTCGAAGACAGCCATCTTACGGTAAGTTCGAGTCGTGTCGACGCGGCGGCGGCCCCGCCGCCGATGTCGCAGAGTCTTCCAAATTGAACGAACTGGTAATGGAAAAGCCGCCGATCGTTCGAGGTTGAACGATCCACGCGGTGTCAGAAAGCAACGCCAGGGTCGTCACGACACGAACTTGCCGTGTAGTCGGACCGAGGTACAAGATCGAGGTCGGCTCGGGGAGGGTACCCTGATGTTCTTCGTGCCTGCTGGATGCTCCGGTGCGTCCTGGGGGGGCACCCTTGGATGTTCTGTGTGCCTTGGCCGGCGGAGGGCTTCATGTTCTTGGAGGATGTTCGGATGGTTTGTCCTAGGTGCGACTGCAAATCCGTTCCAGAGCTTTCCGGAACGCTCTCAGAGCGTCCTGGAACGCCTGGAGGAGGCCGTGGCCGCGTCGCCCGAGACATCCTCCAGATCCGCCAGATCTCAGAGGTTCTCGATTGATCCTTACCCGATGATGTTCTCGTCCTGGCTTCGTCTTACGCGTGCTCCGGGGCTTCCAGATGGGGTCCTAGCAGATGGGGTCGGGGGATCGCGCCACGTCGCCGATGCATCGCCGATGCGGCTCGACGTGGGGCCCGATGTTCTCCACGTCGACGTCGCCGATGCATCGGCGACGCGGCGCGACCCTCGGACCCCATCGGCTCCGACCCCAGTTGGGAGGCACCTCTCCGGAGAGGCTGCGGCACTGCTCGACGATGCGCTGTCGGCCAAACTTGCAGGACCGGCCCTCTCCACGGTGCACTTAGTCGGAGGCCTACACCCTAGGCGATGCTTAAGAAAACTTGCGTTTTCGGCCAGAGTCTCGATTATTCTTAATGTTTCAATGTGAATCCTAAGATTCCAATCGAAATTATAAATTATGGTTTTTATTCAAATTCTGAGACTATGAATTTCTTAACCCATGATTTCTTAAGCATTTCGCGGGGTGTAGAGATGTCGGAGGTGGATCGGCCTCCTACCTTGACACGTCGACTGAGGAATGGGCCGTGTTCGGCGTCGCGGCCGTCATCTTTGCGGGCCCAGGTCCGTCGGCTTCGGTCACAGGCCGTTTTCATGAACGGGAGGTTTCTTAAAGGGAGGTCTGTCCACCGCCGAAGGTTGACATCTGCACCGGTATCGATGGCTGCCTCCACCGAGGAGAGGCTGTTCCGATCTCGGTGGTGGTGGTCGTGCTCGGGCTTCTGGGCGGCTGGGAGGCGCCAGCACCAGAGCCCAGGATCGTACTCCCCCCCGTGGAGGCAGCCCCCGCGTTGTTCAGCGAGCGAAGAACGGTATAAGATAAACTTTTTCGCTGTCGGGGGCGCCTGTCCCTTGGCGGCTGGAAAGTTTATACCCCTACGGTGCCACCGTAAGGGTATAAATTTTCCAGCCGCCCTGGGACAGGCGCCCCCGACAGCGAAAAAGTTTATGTTATATCGTCATTCGCCCGTTAAGTTGTGGCGTTGGCGTATGATGTGCCAACCTGTTTTGGCTTCGATCACCAGAACAAAATTCGAGCAACAAGGAAGTACCGAAGCTGGATGGTTTTCGCGTGTCGGGCCCATGGGAGGCGATACTCGTTCGACACCGTTTCGATACTTCTCGGGCCGCTCGAAATTATTTTTGGGATGCGGTCCTTAAGTACGATGGGAGCAACATACCCAGACTCCCGACGTCATGATTCTTTCATAACATCGACCCTGGAGGTCTCGACCCATTCCCTGGGACCAGCTGTTCATCCTGGATCGTTTCTTAGGCCGAAAATAGAAAAGAAAACAACAACCCCCACCGTTATTCTTTCACTACCCGAAGGGGTTCTGGGTAAGTGTTGGCACCGACTTCGAGGCCCCCGACTTCAGCTCTTTGGCGTCGGCTTCTGCTCCATGTGCTCCGCGAGAAGCGCCCTCTGGCCAGCTCACCCGCTTGCCGGCCCTTCGCCCTCGTTTGCGGGTGCCTCTGCCATTGAAGTCGGGCCTGCCCCGCTACAGGAGGAACCTGCCAAAACTCGTCACGAGCGAAATGGGTACGGAAAGAATGGGTGCGATGCCCAACAGCCGTCCCTGTTCATTTTGAGCAGGACTCGCTGTCGGTGTCGCCGCGGCCTGTGTCCATTTGAGACAGAAGGCCACCTGCCCAACAGCGACCGCTGTTGGTTTGGGACAACATTTGTTCCTAGTCTTTCCGTACCCATTTCGGGCGTCCAAAAAACACAAAACTCTTATGGGGACGATGTTTTGAGTATCTTTGACTATGTCTGAATGTGTTTGCGTGTTTTGAATTCTTTTCTTCCAAAGTCCACCTGTAGGAGGACATGCCCGACCCAACTCTGCCATCGCGGCCACCTGTGAGTCTCACTGCGGGTTCGTCCGACGCGGGTTTTTTTCGGACGCCCCCGCGGGGGTTCATCACCCGGCTGCAGGTCGCCCTCGAATTCTGAGCCCTGGCCAGCGGTTCAGAAATTTGACTTGCAGGGGCAATAGCGGTCACACCCGGGCGTGTCAGTAGGAGCGAAAGTCCGTTTCCCGTCCGCCGGTGGCCGGCGGACACCCGGGGGCCCTCGGGGTTGGTGGACACCATAAAGGATGGGGGTGGTTCTAATATAGAGTCCCGAAACAAAGGTTTCCCGGACACCCAGGGTCCCTCGGCGCCGGTGGACTCCATAAGGGATGGCGGTGTTTCTCATATGGTGTCCTGGAACAAGGGCTTCCCGGACACCCCGGGTCCCTCGGGGCTGGTGGACACCATAAGGGATGGGAGCGTTTCTAATAGTCCCGAAACAAGGGCTTCCCGGACACCCAGGGTCCCCGCGGGGCTGGTGGACACCATAACGGATGGGGGTGTTTCTAACATGAAGTCCCCAAACAAGAATTCCCCGGACACCCAGGGTGCCTCGGGGCTGGTGGACACCGTAAAGGATGGGGGTGTTTCTAATATGGGATCCCGAAACAAGGGTTTCCCGGACACACAGAGTCCCTCGGCGCCGATGGACACCATAAGGGATGGGGGCGTTCCTCATATGGGGTCCCGAAACAAGGGCTCCCCGGACACCCAGGGTCCCCCAGGGCTGGTGGACACCATGACACCATAAGGGATGGGGGCGTTCCTAGTATAGAGTCCCGAAACAAGGGGTCCCTGGACACCCAGGGTCCCTCGGGGCTGGTGGACACCATAAGTGATGGGGGTGGTTCTAATATAGAGTCCCGAAACAAGGGCTTCCCGGACACCCAGGGTCCCGCGGCGCTGGTGGACACCATAAGGGATGGGGGCGTTTCTAAGATGGAATCCCAGCACAAGGGTTTCCCGGACACCCAGGGTGCCTCGGGGCTGGTGGACACCATAAGGAAAGAAGGCGTTTCTAATATAGAATCCCGAAACAAGGGTTTCCTGGACACCCAGGGTTCCTCGGCCCTGGTGGACACCATAAGGGACGGGGGTGTTCCTAGTATAGAATCCCGAAACAAGGGTTTCCCGGACACACAGGGTTTTTCGGGGCTGGTGGACACTATAAAGGATGGGGGTGTTTATAATCTGGAATCCTGAAACAATGGTTTCCTGGACACCCAGGGCCCCTCGGCGCCGATGGACACCATAAGGGATGGGGGTGTTTCTAATATAGAGTCCCGAAACAAGGGCTTCCCGGACACCCTGGGTCCTTCGGCGCCGATGGACTCCATAAGGGATGGGGGTGTTTCTAATATAGAGTCCTGAAACAAGGGCTTCCCGGACACCCAGGGTCCCGCGGGGCTGGTGGACACAATAAGGGATGGGGGTGTTTCGAATATGAAGTCCCCAAGCAAGAGTGTCCCGGACACCTCCCGTGCCTCGGGGCTGGTGGACACCATAAGGGATGGGGGTGTTTCTAATATGGAATCCCGAAACAAGGGTTTCCCGGACACCCGGAGTCCCTCGGCGCCGATGGACACCATAAGGAAGGGATGGGGGTGTTTCTCATATGGAGTCCCGAAACAAGGGTTTCCCGGACACCCTGGGTCCCTCGGCGCTGGTGGACACCATAAGGAATGGGGGTGTTTCTAGTAGGGGGCTGGTGGACACCATAAGGGATGGGGGTGGTTTTAATATAGAGTCCCGAAACAAAGTTTTCCCGGACACCCAGGGGCCTTTTTCGCTGGTGGACACCATAAGGGATGGGGGTGCTTCTGATATGGAGTCCCGAAAGAAGGGGTTCCTGGACACCCAGGGTCTTTCGGCGATGATGGACACCATAAGGGATGGGGGCGTTTCTAATATAGAGTCCTGAAACAACGGCCTCCCGGACACCCAGGGTCCTGCGGGGCTGGTGGACACAATAAGGGATGGTGGTGTTTCGAATATGAAGTTCCCAAGCAAGAGTTTCCCGGACACCCAGGGTGCCTCGGGGCTGGTGGACACCATAAGGGATGGGGGCGCTTCTAATATAGAGTCCCGAAACAAGGGTCTCCAGGACACCCAGGGTCCCTCGGCGCTGGTGGACACCTTAAAGGATGGGGGTCTTTCTCATATAGACTCCCAAAACAAAGGTTTCCGGGACAACCAGGGGTCCCCCGGGGCTGGTGGACACTATAGAATATAGGGGTGTTTTTCCATATAATAGAATATACAAAACAGAGTCCCAAAACAAATAATTCACCGACACCCAGGGTCCCTGGGGCTGGTGGACACCATAAGGGATGGGGGTGTTTCTGATATAGAATCCCAAAACAGAAGATTCCCGGACACCCAGGGTCCCGCGGCGCTGGTGGACACCAGAAGGGATGGGGGCGTTTCTTATATAAAGTCCCAAAACAAGGGCTTCCCGGACACCCGGAGTCCCTCGGCGCTGGTGGACACCATAAGGGATGGGGGTGTTTCTAATATAGAGTCCCGAGACACCCAGGGTCCTGCGGGGCTGGTGGACACCACAAGGGATGGGGGTGTTTCTTATATGGAGTCCCGAAACAAGGGCTTCCCGGACACCCAGTGTCTCTGGCGCTGTTGGAAACCATAAGGGAGGATAGGGGGTGTTTCTAATATGAAGTCCAGAAACAAAGGTTTCCCAGACATTCAGCCGTCCCTGGCGCTGGCGAACACCATAAAGTATGGGGGTGGTTCTTATACAGAGTCCCGAAACAAGGGTTTCCCAGACACCCAGAGTCCTTCGGCGCCGATGGACACCATAAGGGATGGGGGTGTTTCTGATATAGAGTCCCAAAACAAGGGTTTCCCAAACACCCAGGGGCCCTGGCGCTGGCGGACACCATAAGGGATGGGGGTGTTTCTTATATCGAGTCCGAAAACAAGGGTTTCCCGGACACCCAGGGGCCCCTGGTGCTGGTGGGCACCATAAGGGATGGGGGTGTTTCTTATATGGAGCATCCCCAAAACGAGGGTTTGCTGGACACCCAAAAGCCCTGGGGCTGGTGGGCACCGTAAGGGATGGGGGTGTTTCTTATATAGAGTCCCCAAGCAAGGGTTGCCCGGACACCCAGGGTCCTTGGCGCTGGTGGACACCAGAAGGGATGGGGGTGTTTCGTATATAGCGTCCCAAAGCAAGGGTTTCCTGGACACCCAGGGGTCCTTGGCGCTGGTGGAACCCATAAGGGGGGACGGGGGCGTTTCTTATGTAGAAAACAGGGGCTTCCCGGCCAGACAGGGGCATTGGGGCTGGTGGACACCATAAGGGATGGGGGTGTTTCTTATGTAGAGTTCCGAAACAAGCGTTTCCCAGACACCCAGGGTCCTTGGGGCTGATGGACACCATAAAGACGAATGGGGGTGTTTCTTATATATAAAGTCCGGAAACAACGGTTTCCCGGACACCCAGGGGTCCTTGGCTCTGGTGGACACCACAAGGGAGGATGGGGGTGTTTTTTATATAGAGTCCCGAAACAACGGTTTCCTGGACACCCAGGGGCCCTGCAGGGCCCCTGGGTGTCCGGGAAACCCAGCCCATGGGGCTGATGTGTCCCTATGGGGGTGTTTCTTATATCGAGTCCCAAAACAAGGGTTTCCCGGACACCCACGGGTCCCTGGCGCTGGTGGGCACCATAAGGGAGGATGGGGGTGTTTCTAATATAGAGTCCCGAAACAACGGTTTCACGGACACCCAGGGACCTGGGCGCTGGCGGACACCATAAGGGATAGGGGCGCTTCTTATATAGAGTCCCCAAAAAAGGGTTTCCCGGACACTCAGGGTCCCTGGCGCCGATGGACACTAGAGGGGAGGATGGTTTATGTCTTCTTCGGTCATCGCCGTGTTCGTTGGTCGTCGTCTTCGTTGGTCGTCTTCGTCGGTTGTCGTCGTCTTTGTCGGTCGTCCCCGTCTTCGTTTGTCGCCAGCGGCGGTTTGCGAGTGTATACGGTGGTAGCATGAAGAGAATGAACTCTGGATTAAATTGTTGTTGACGCGGTGGAGATGGTAAAGATTAAATTCGGTTTTATTGTTTGGTATGAAATCGTGGGACATACGAATACTAAATCTGGATTTAATTCAAAACAAATGCGGGTTCCTTCGTCGCCGAACAAACATTGAGTGCATCACTATGTGTCAGTGTTTGTTACCTCTTCGGGGTGTATTGGATTCCTCCTAAGGAGGTATCTTGGGGCCATCTTCAGCCGTCTTGGGCTTTTCCGGCCATCTTCGGATCCTCCCGGGGCTGTCTTCGAGGCCTCTTGGGCGCTTCTGGCCGCGCGGTGACGTACAGGAATCCTGGGGCGTGTAGAATGGCCAGGAATTTGGGCTTACCCTCCGACGAAGTCCTCGTTTGACGCGGCATGCCCTGTGGTAGACCGTATAAAGGGAGCCAGACTGGGAAGGCAAGTGACAAGCGGCAACACAAGCAACACGAGACAGCAGTCCACTAGGAATTTTCCAGCCTTCAGGCCAAAAGGGGGCCGGCCGATATGATATTTATCCAGAGCAAAGTCTTCACTCCTACGTAGCACCCCGCATTTGCGGATAAGAGTGAGGGGGCGGCGGCGCGGGCGAAGTCTGCCCCCGAGTGGCCCCTTTGTTTAGCCCCCAAGTGTCGTCCCCATGTGTAGCCCCCAAATGTAGCCCCATGTGTAGCCCTCAAGTGTCGCCCCATATGTTAAAACCCGCCGCCTTCACTAATTCTGGCAACAAGCCGCTTCAGGTTGAACATGGTTTGGTTCGTATCATCATCGGCATACTACGGCGAGGAGGAGGAGGAAGCGGCGAAAAAGGAGAAGGAAGAGGAGGAGAAAGAGAAGGAGAGAAGGAGGAGAAGAAAGAGAAGGAGAAGGATGAGGAGAAAGAGGAGGAGGAGGAGGAGGAGGAGGGGAAAGAGGAGGAGAAAGAGGAGGAGTTAGGAAAAAAAAGGAGAAAGAGGAACTGGCCAAGCACGCCTTTTATCAGGCGCAGGCCCTCGGCACGAATGGGCGCGGCTGGCGCGGACTGATCAGATCAGCTCGTTCCACGAGGCTCCTCGAGAGAGCGACGGGGGCCAAGGACGACGAGGAGAGGGGGAGGACGACGAGGAGGACGACGAGGAGGACGACGAGGAGGACGACGACGAGGAGGACGACGAGGAGGACGACGAGGAGGGAGGAGGAGGACG